TCGCATGACGTCACAAGAACAATCTGCCTTATTAGAGAAAACCGTAAACAAAAAAAAAAGGATGGTTAATCCACTTTAAACTTTAGGACTCATTCGATTGACGTTTTCCTTAATTTAGAGATAAAAGGGTAAACCACCATTGTGAGTTACTAAAAAGTGCGATAAATATAATTAATTAAAGAGAGTATTTATTTATAAAAAACTTTAGTTTTATTTAACTCTTGAGTCCCGTTAATTTATTTGAATTATCATGAAATAATTCCAACGTTCAAAATGAAAGGTGACTTGAACTTGGCTTAACCATGTAAGCCTAAGCCCCAATTCTTTCGTTTACAGTACGAAGAACGAACGGCCTTGAATCTACACGCATATTTTACAATATTCTCTTGACTCGTGCTCACATAATTCTTCATTTCATTCATGATTTCTCTCGGAGAAATCAATAATCTATCGTGTTGTTCTTTTTCACGTACTGCATGTCTAAAATCACCTCGCCGTGATGGCCATGTGATGAGGGTACCTTTCTTGATTCAATATATACATGTGTAGTAAAAGATATCGTAACAATGTATTGTATTAAGAAAACATTATTTCGGGTGAATTTAACATTTTTATTTCCATCAGATCCGGTTGTTTAGAATTTGACAAATAACCTGGCAATAATGTCTTTTTTAAATTAAATTAATTAAATTCATAATAATCGCCAATTTTTCAAAATCCAGTCGAGTAATTAATTAAAAAATAAAGTTTTAAAAATCAGATTGTAAATATTTTTGTTGAATTAGATAAATAAAAAAAAAAATTATTATTTGTTTATAAATAATAATTATTATTTATTTAATAAATAAATTATGTTTTTATTTGCTGTAAATAATATCGACATATTTTGTATTTAAAATTTTATACAAAATAAAGTTTTTTTAATTTATTTTGTTAATTATAATTAATTCATTATTTTTGAAAATATTAAGGTTGTTTTAAATATTACAAAATGTGTATATAAAAATAGATGTAAATAAATAAATGGTGATATGTCTTCACTTAATTATTATTAGGATTACTTTATGGCGGAGTACACCTTTAAACACACGCACGAGGCAGTTTCAAATATTACGATGATGCTAAGGGAAAGCAACAAAAAATTTTTTTTTTTTAAATACAGCTCTTTCTTTTATTATTTATTATTTTCTTTCGGAACATGTTTACTTTTCAAATTTAGCCTTGCTGATCCCACTTAAATAAACTTTTAGAATATCATCAGCAGTAGGATTCACTATCCGAAATGTGTTCGATGGACGTTCCAAATGTTGTTGAGGAAAGTATCGCGTGATCATGTGTGCCAAGCCGGTTATTCGATATTTACCTCGACCACCCAGCAGAGCATAGTAGGTTGTGTACAACACGGCAGCCAAGACGATAAAATTTGTGAATACTGATGTTCCGGGAAGTATGGATTTTTCTCGAGTGGTTTGCACCTGGAAGCTTCCTGTTGATAATGGCATTTAGTGATGTTTGAGAGAACAAAAGAATGTCTGTTGATTAACAAGATTACATTAGTTACCTGGTTTTAGATGAATTACACCGGTAGAACTAGTTTTACCAAAGGCGTGCGATGAACCATCAAGTTCCGCTCTATAATCCATATCCCATTTCTCGGTACCATTCAAAAATATATGCCTTTGATAATAAAATGTATACGTTCGTTCTTTAAATGCATCACATTGCGATAATCTGTACGGATCTAGAATTTGTGGGGTGGTATTTGTGGATAGTTCAGACGCCGATGATGAAGAAGAGGGCAAATCGAATGGATTCCACAACATTAATTGTATTTTGGTCATTGAAGATGCATTGAAGAGAGAGTATCTTATGAATAACGCGGATTGAAAGTCGGTCCATTGTACGGGAGGAACTGTCGGTTTTGAAAGGAGAAGCGGAGAAGTTGTCTGAATGACCTGGGGTAAAAAGATTGTTTTAATGTTAGGTTATTTGCAAATAAAAACAAGAAGTGACAAAGTGTACAGAAAACTTACATAACACTTCGAGAACCAACCATTATAGGTAGCGTCATTAGAAACGTTAACAGATTTAAGCAATCCCGGGCAATTCACCGAAGTTTTTCCATAAGTGGAGCAGTTGAAATTATAATTGGAATCATTAGTGCACAATGACAAGGCTGGTGGTGGTAGCGAGTCCACGTCCTCATAGGAAATCGTCGTATATACAAGCTTAGACCTAGTTACATCGAATATGGTGTTTACAATTAGATAGGCCACTAGAATCAACGCAAAGAAGATTTGCAGTATGGTTGTGATTAGTCTTCGCAAATTTGTCCCGGTTTTCATTATTGACTTCTTTTCTTTACTTGAGGGAGAGGAGAACTGGCTTGTGAATGTTTCTTCCGCAAAAATAACGAGCGATTTCTATTTGAAGTGAGATCTTTATATCAAATAAAGAGATATAATTATATGTTGTATATATAATTTCTAGTAAGTGAACACCATGTTATTTCTCCAGGAAAAATGTTGAGGCGAGAAATGTTAAGGCGAGAGAAGCCAGCTCTCTATATCACAATTAAAGAAAAGATTTTTTTTTTTGTAAACACGCGAAAAAACTGGGGATATCGGGATCCAAATCACAAACGCAACCATTACCGTTATTTTATACATGGTTTTAAAGATTTACCATAAATGATGGTACAATAATTTTGTTTACTGCTTTGTACTTTCTCCTTGTATTCACTCGGCACTTGGTGAAATTACGTCATCTATTGTTAAATAACTATTTTCCTAAAGCTGTTACGATACGACTAAATTTCAGAAACAATGAATAAGTACTCCTTTAGTGACCAACGGTGTTACATGCATAAATTCTCCATCTATTGTTCCAAATTAGGGCATCAAACTAATTAATTTGACGCAATTCGGATGGATAGGTGTGACACACATGCAAATCCGAAAAGATGGATTCTTGTATACTTTAAAAAGCAAATTTCATTTGAATAACTTTATAAATATCATCGTACGGGGTCGGTTCGGTAAAAAATCATACAATCAATCACATTTGCGAAACGCTTAAAGTAGTATGACAAAGAATTGTTAAAAAAGATAATTAGTTACAGTATTTCAAGTAATAAAAACCGTTTCAACCTTTGTCCCGTTAAATCCATTATCGATTACCATAAGTCGGTCTAAGGTATGCATGGATTTTTTCTATATCTGACAATAAAAATATGAAGTGTAATGTTGGCATGCGCATATCACAAACTATGCACACGAACAGTAATGCAATGTATTAATAAATTGAATTAAAATAGAGCACTTGGGCATGAGCGTATCTGATAGGTGGATGCGTTCACGAGATATTTATGTAAGAAAGATGACAGGAATACAAACAATATTCAAAGAACACATTTTTATTTAAACAACAAATAACAACACAAAAATTATCATTACACAATAATTAAATTTTTTATTTTAATATAATGAAATAAGATGTTTACAGCAAAATATATACTGTATTTATACAACGCCTGGTATCTTATTATTTTTATTTTAGAATAATAATGTGGATAGAAAATTAATAATAGTAAAAAGACAAATTTAGGATCAGCCAATGTGATATGCTAAAGCTCTTAATAATATTGTTATAATTATACTAGCAAATAATATTAGTTAATGTTTTTATCTTATACTAGCATATATAGTATAACTGGTATATACAGTATATTATATATGATATATAGAATAAATCATTATTATGGTTATTGGCAAGTCTGTCACTAACAAAAGCTAAGATTTGCATAACAATGGTAAGTGTTTTATTTTATGGGTGAGGCAAATTTGATTATGGTTAAAAAGTTAATTAATTGTTTTTTCTTTATTAACAACATGATTCTTTTATACAATAAATTCAATAATTACATAAAAATCTAACAATAAGAAAATGAAATAAATAAAAAAGTAAAGTAAAAAGAAAAATAAAATAATGAATCATGGCAAAGTTATTACATAACATATCATCATTTTTGTTGTAATTCATTAATTTTACCAAGCAAAGATAGATCATATAACTTCATTCAATCTTTCTCTGATTATGTTATACTTTTTCTATTAAAGCCTCCCATATTTTTCATATATATCACTTATTGTTTCAATATAGCTTGTCCTAATTATAGTATGTGTAAGGTTTCAAAAAGTATTGAACTGGTACCAAAATGGTATCGAAATAATACCAATCTATAGTAAATTTAATATATGGATTATAACCCACTCATATGAATTTATAATAAATTTAAATATTAAACAGGTATTGAAATGGTACCATTAAAAGTTCTAAATATGTAATATTTCTTGAAAATTGATGTAAGTACAATTTGTATCACCATTTTTTGTGTTATATTATATACAGTAGTGGTTATAAATATCTAACACTTTTTTAAAAATTCAAATCTAATTTAATTGTTTTAAAAATATTAAAATAAATAATTTATTATAATTTTTAATCTGCTAATTTTTTTTAAGTTTTTATAATTGTTAAAACAAAATTTAAATAAGAATCAAATTTTAAAGATTTTTTTTTAATGGATTTTTTTTTTAACTTGAAAATTATTAAAAAATAATACATATATCATTAATTTACTTTTTTTTTTCAAATAAAAAGTACTAGTATTGCATATATTTTTATTGAATTATTTATATTCAATTATATAAATATAAAAAAAAAAAACTCTTTTCTGCAAATCACAAAATTCTTAAAAATTTCTTTTTTTGATAAAAAACACAAAAACCCCAAGAAATATCAAAGGAAACACCCAAAGAAAACCTTTATCAAGAAGAAACACTTCACTGATTTCTTCCAAAATCAAATAAAGACATATTAAACAGGTATAATTAAACTTAAAAAAACACTAACCTTTTCTTTTATTTCAATACAAACAAATACATATTTGTTTTTTTTTACTGAAAAAGAAAAAAAAACAAGAAAAACAATTCACAGTTTAAAAAAGGAGAAAGTTAGCACCATACTTCCCAAGCTATCAGCTAGTCGTGCATCAGGTTAGATACCTTTCTAGATACTAGTAGGGCCTTGTATTAGCCAGATTACATCCGGTAAACCAGGTAATCTTGTCACTGTTACAAAACCAGAAGAGTACCAAGACTTTCTCAACATTGTATTTAAAAGAAAAACAAAAGATCCAAAGAATTTTACAATATAAACAACAATCATTACACAGATTGATCTACATTGGAGCTGAAAAAACCTAAACCAGTTTACCTCACCAAAAGATCAGCAGTAACATGAATATGTGTATATATTCTCCATATTCAAAATAAGAAAACAAACACAGTTGTTTATAGAATTTAAAATTAAGGTTTAATTATATTCCATATCCAAAAAACAACAACAATAAACAAACAAACAAACAACAACAAAACTGGAAACAGACACGTGTCTTTGCACTTCTTCTAATAAAATTATAAACAAAACATGTCAATATCCAATTACATAATGCACAAAATCCATGGATCAGCAACAACAATATATATCTGATATCCAATTAGAAACAAATATTCAGCAACCAATAAAAAATCAGATCATCAAGTACTTAAGAATACTGGAAGACAATCATGATGCTTATAATTAACAATGGATTAAATCACTCCTTAAAGATAGCTATAATAACTTCTCCACAGAACTCTCAGAACTTGGAACAATAATAAACATTACAATCTTAGACACAGTAGCAGCAAAGCTACTTAACATCAATGCTTCAACAGCAGTAAAATAGATACTCATCAAGAAATACATAAAGCAAATTTGGAAACATAACAACTTCGAAGCTGAAATATTAAACAAATACATAATAGAGAATTCACATCAAATCCAGCAAATACTAAATATCATTAAACCAATAGAACCTACAAGTTAACAAGAAGAATAATATGTTAACAGTCACACTCATCTCCTACAAGTACATACAGAACCCGACAACACAATGGCCACAACAACACAAAATAATGCCTAGGGCTTCTAATGGTATCACTTCGATACCTGTTCGATATCATTTCAATACTTAAATTTATTATAAATTTATATAAGTGGGTTACAACCCATATATTAAATTTATTATAGATCAGTATCATTTTGATACCACTTTGGTACCAGTTTGGTACTTTTCGGAGCCCTAATAATGCCATACAAATGGAAGAAGATTCCAAGAATAAATCCACTTCAATAAACAAAATAGTTCTAATTACCTGGCAATGGAGATAGTATTGGAATCTAAGAAAGAGAAAAAGAAAACATCAATCTACACACCATTCAGAAGCTGTATAACATCTGTCCAAAGCTATCATACAAGAAATAAGCAATATATACCTACCAATCCTTTCTTTGTTAGCAAAGTGGATAGTTTTAAAATAGAAACACTTGTAGCCAACATATCAGAAGACTCCAAAGAAGAGCAAATCAAATATATTGCCAATTTTCTCTGACTGTCCAAAGACAAGCACAAACTTATATAAACACTCTTTATAAATGGAAATAGATGGTACACTGTCCAATTTCAATTCAAAGAAGACATGAAAAGATACCTAATCAAGCTTGGCAAAGAAAAAGAGAGCTTCAAATTTATTATTTTGGAACAACCCAAATGTTTATCACCTGTAGAAACAAAACATGAAAAATATACTTAAAAAAGTATTCTCGAATACAATAAATTCAATCTGTTAGAACATAACAGTCCATACCAACTAAGAATCAAATGCAGTACTATCCTTGGCAAAAACAAAAAAGAACAACTGCAAAATCTTACCAAAATTCTCAAAGTCCCTTTATCCCATAAGAAATCCAAGTCAAGGCCATAGAAAAAAGCAAATGAACAATTCTATATTTCCAAAAATCTAGCAACATGTTGGAATGCAAAAAAAAATTATTAATTTACCAATTCCAAATAACAATCAAGATCTTGCATAAAGAAGAATCAAGCAATATAACCTTCTCTGAAGACAAAAACACTCTAGACACTACAATAGGCATAGAAAAGGTCATAATAATGTATATACCTTCTGACTTTTTAATTAAGAGACTCAAAAATGTTATAGTCAAATATAGAATGATCTCACATATACAGATGGAAAATAGCAATAATAACTTCAAGTCAGCAAGAGTTACATTTTCAATATTATTAATAAATCTAAAAGAGACATAGGCAATACCAATAGAAACAATAATGGCAAGAATTGTACCATACCAAAACTATACTGAGACCCTAACATAACAAAACAATATCATGACCAGATTATATGGAATAAACAAGGAAGTCTTGGCTACCAAAGTAATAAGTGCAACCAAGCATCTCAATGTCAAAACCATATATATACCAACAAATAGCAAAACAGAGAAGAAAAGAAGCTTCACCATTCTAGACTTCTTCAACATAAAAAATCTGAACAAAGTCCTAAAATCCCATATAGAACTGTTTAATAGTAAAACTTGGTGA